CATTCGTTTGTTGATGGGCACCTGGGTTGTTTCCAACTCCTTGCTATTGTGAACAGAGCTGCAATAAACATGGATGTGCATATATCTGCTTGGATGTCAGTTATGGTCTCTTTGGGATATATTCCCAGTAGTGGAATTGCTGGGTCAAATGGTATCTCTATTTGCAACGTTTTAAGAAAGCGCCATACCGCCTTCCACAGTGGTGGCACTATTGAAGCTGGGCTTTAAGATGAGGAATGAGACATCAGGATTGGAGGAGGACTCATCAAATAATAATATGCAAATGATGGCACAATCTTGCGTACTGAAATTGAGGAGGACTGGAAGCATTTGCTGTAGAGGATAAAGGACTGTAGTCTTCAATAAGGATTGTAGTTTTCAATATAGATTAATGTTCAACATCGAGAAAACAAAGATTCTCATCACCGAGCCAATTGTCAGCATCGTGATGGATAGAGAACAGATTGAAGTTGTTAACAGTTTCAGTGTGCCTGGCTCTACAATCAACACTTTTGGCACCAGCAGTCAGGAAATCAAAAGATTAATTTCACTGGGGAGTTATGTTATCCAGGGACCTCTCCAAAGTGCTAGACAGCAATGAGGTCAGTCTATAGACTCAGTTGTGCCTGACCTGAGTCAGGCCATGGTCTTAGCAATTACTTACAACAGAGAGCTGGACAATGACTAAAGAGGAAAGAAGAAGAAGAACTGATGCCTTTTAGTTGTGGTGCTGGAGAACAGTACTGACTATACGATAGGCTGTGAAGAGAACAAGCAGGTATGTCTTGGAGAGGGTGAAACCAGACTACTCCTTGGAAGCAAGGATTTTGAAGCACTGTCTCATATATTTTGGGCATGTGGCCAGGACAGACTAGTCCTTGAAGAAAGGACATCAGGCTCAGAAGGGTAGAGGGACAGCACAGAGAGGAAAACTCCAGATGAGATAGAATGGACACACAGTTACTATGGTAACGGTTGGAAGGTGTGCCAGGGACAGTGAGATTGGCTCAGCATATGGCAGAGTTGTACACAGATTTGCTATGAGTTGAAGGTGACTCGATGGCATCTAACAACAAGAAAGGCTCAGGGAAAGGACAACTTCTCCACAACACAGCTTCCATTCTGGCTATTTCAAGAGCTTTCCTTTTGAGGGGCTCATCTCCTGGTACAAGCTATCTAGCAGACAATGCTTGGCTGCTATTCATAAGGTTTTCACTGGCCAATTTTTTACAACAGTAGATCACCAGGTCCTTTTCCTTAGTCAGTGTCGGTCTGAAAGTGATGCTGAAATGTATGTTCCAGGTGGCCCTATTGATATATGAACTAGCAGCAAAATAGTTTCTAGCATCACAGCAACACCCAGTGTACCCCAGTAACAAAGTGACAAACAAGGCCTAGTGAGTACTATTATATTGTATTAATACTGTTTTTATTCTTCTACTGACTGAAATTTGGACTGTTTCCACTTGTAACTATTATTTATGTATGGTTTTGTTGTTAAGTGCCATCAAGTCGCCTGCAATTCACAGCGACCCTATGTACAACAGGTCTGAAGCCTGCCCTGTTCTAAGCCAGTCTCACTGACTCCGACACGCCAACCTCCATTGTCCCAGTTACTGTATCCATTCATCTCATCCAGGGTCTTCCTCTCCTGCCTTCTCCTTCTAAGCATGATGTCCTTCACCAAGGTCCCTCCTGGATACGTGCCCAAAGTATGTGAGACGGACCTTCAAAATCCAACAACCTGCATGATACAGATAACACAATCTTGCTTGCCCAAACTGAGGAGGACCAGAGACATCTGCTGCAGAAGGTCAAGGAATGCAGCCTTCAATATAGATCAAAGCTCAACATCAAGAAAACAAAGAGTCTCACCACTAGACCAACTGGAAGCAACATGATAGACAGTGAAGAGACTGAGATCGTTAACAGCTTCAGTTTGCTTTAGCTCCACAATCAACACTCTTAGTACCAGCATCCAGGAAATCAAAAGATGAATTGCATTGAGATCGGCTTTCAGGGTACTCTCCAGAGTACTGAAGAGGATTGGTGTCAGTTTAGAGACTAACGTGCACTTGATCCAGGACATGGTCTTTGCAATTACTTGCTATGCAACAGAGAGCAGGAAATGATGAAGGATGATGGAAGAATCATCAATGCCTTTGAGTTGTGGTGCTGAAGAAAATTACTGAATATAGCATAGACTGCTAAGTGAAAAAACAGGTTCATCCTAGAGAGGGTAAAAAGCAGGTTGCTAGTTGAAGGCAAGGATTTTGAAACTTCATCTGACATACTTTGGGCATGCTGTAAGAAGGGACCAGTCCATGGGGAGGGACATCATGCTTGGGAGGGTGGAGGGACAGTGCAAGAGAGGAAGACCCTGGATGAAATGGATTGATTGGCTCAGTGACTGGGGTAATAGGGGTAGGTGTGTCAGAGACAATGAGGCTGGCTCAAGAGAGAGCAGGGTTCAGAGCTGTTACACATAGCATTGCCATGAAACACAGGTGATTCAAAGCACATAACAACCACAACAACATGGTTTACTGAATATTATTCATTAACATCATAATTCCAAGGCATCAATTCTTCTTTGGTATTCCTTATTCACTATCAAACTTTCACATGCATATGAGGTAAATGAAAACACCAAGCTATCGTTAAGGCCAAACATATCCTAGCTCTCAAAATGGCATCCTTGCTCTTTAATACTGTATAGAGGTCCTCTGCAGATATACTCATTGCAAAACATTTTTTGCTTTTTTTCATATTTGCTTCCATAGATGCTGACTGTGGATCTAAGTAATATGAAATTCTTATCAATCTCTGAATTTTATATAATTGCTTATATAAAGAAAATTTAGCTCAGGGTTATCACTGTGATTTCATCAAAACACTGTTTCTTCTTTTTTAAATTCTAATTAGTTAAGAAAATTGTCCTCTCAATCTCATGAGAGATGAAATGAAACCATTTGCAGACATTCAGAAACCCTATACAATAACATGCAAATATAAATCTTATTAAAACAGAAAAGTCACTGGCAAAGGAATATGTCTTGGCTTCAGCATGCCTTCCCTCCCCTTGAAAGGCTTACATAATATCCCTCTGGATAAACTGAAGAAATCCAGAATAAACATGGAGTGGAATGAAGTAAGCAAGATGGACTGAATGAACAATCTTTCTCCCTAAACAAGCTCACTGGTGGATCAGTGCCACTTTGAACAGGCAAGTCTGCCCCAGTCAGCATTTCAAACAGTTGCTTGCATGAAGATATAGAAGGTGGGAAGATCACATCTGAAAAGACAAAGGTTGACTACAAGTGTAAATGAGTCAAACGCAATATAGGACCCAGACCACAACAGTTACCTGCTAGCCAGATCTCTTGTGGAGTTCTGGGTTCTATTCTTAAAGTCAACTAAAAAATTGTCACAGTAATTAAATGCAGTAATCCAAACAGAAAAGTAAAGATTCTGGAAGCCATATGTGACAGGAAAGAAAATGTTCAGTAATCAATCTCTGACATTGTAGAGTATCATAGAGAAGTAGCTATTACATGAAATCATTTAATCACAGTTAATTTTACGCAATGTTGTATTATCACACTAACTGCATGTGTAACCATGCATGGAATCTGTCTCAAGCACTACTTTAAATAGACTTACTCTCTAGTTTTAAAAAAGGCCACTCACATGGCAGTCTACTTTGTTAACTGAATTTCTTTAACATTCTTTTGCAAACTGAAAGAAAAAACATTTCTGGCCTTACACTGCTATCGTTCCATTGGAGCATTTCATGAACTTCACATAAGTCAGTATTAGCCACCATTACCAAATGCTTTTCAGGAGGAAAGGTTGGCAGTATCAGTCATAAATCAAGTTAAATTCACTATTGGATGAAACCAGAGCTTTCATTACAGACAAAAGTAGACTACCAGGCTACCCAGTATTTATGTTTGAACATTATGTTGTTGTTGTGGTGGTGGTGCTGCTGAATAAGTAAGACTCATAGCAACCCTTAATATTAACAATGGATCCGAACCCTATCTTTATCATCTCTGACAAACTTGTTCCTATTGCTGCAGGCACGGCAGGAGTCCATCTGGTTGAAGGTCTTCCTCTCTTTCACTGACCCTCCACTTCTCTAAGCATGATCTCCTCTCCAAAGAACAGCCTCTCCTAGCACCAGGCCCAAAGTATATGAAATGAAATTATGTCATCTTTGCCTCCAAGGAACACTTAGGAAGCACTTTCTCCAAGACATATCTTTGAATATTATAGGTGAAAGAAAATGCCTGACTGAGTTGACTTATCCAGTTTTGTTTCAGCAGATGGAACATCTAATTTCAAGATGAGAGAAAAGTAATACCTGCTTAGGAATGTCACAGAAGGAACTACTGCAGGCAGTCCTCAGGTAACAAATGAGATCAGTTCCTAACCATGGCTTCAAGACTCTAATTTTGTCTAAGTGTCATGCAATAATATGTGGAAGCCTTTACAGTGATTTAAAAGCTGCAAGTGCAGCAAGTGAAGGTGATTATGACAATGACTTTTCTTGCAAGTAGTGGCTAGTTCAGTGGTTTCAAGATGAGGGCAAATAACCACAACTTTAAAAGGCAAATATAAGTTGTCCTTAAGTTAGATATTGAAAATAAAACATCTGGAACCTGTATATGAATAAGAGATTCATAAAGTTTTGTCAAATTATTTAAGTATGTGCAAGTAAAGATATTTATAGTATAAAACAAGTTTAAATATCTCAATTTTATGAAGCAATACCTTATTATATAATCACTGAGTACAATTCATTTTTTACGATAAACTTATGACTTACCATTTAAGACTTTCCTTTCCTCGTGACAATCTGTACAATAATTTAGAGGAAAAAATCATGTAAGAATTTATAATGTCGAAGTATATAAGTAAATACTATTGATTTAAAGATAAAAGCTCTTAGCTTGTGACAGGCTTCTTCCCCACACCCACCTAAAGACAAAGGATTAAAATAAGAGAAATAAATAAATGTCTGTTGTTTGAAATAGGTAATTTTCATCTCTATAGAATGGTAGGTCATTCTCTAGGTATTTGTCCTAGAGACAAATATGTTCCATTTCACCGGGTTTTTCCTTACTGCTATCACTATTTCCTCACTAACATTTAGTTTATTTGCTTAAAGATAAAATTCCAAGTTTTGTCCAAGTTTATTACATATTAAATTCACCTAAAGTAACCTGAATTTATTTATATTTATACACACACACACACACACA